TTTCGCCGTGTAGTGGCGGTCAAGAATATCCACTACCCCATATCTTCCCGTGGGTGTCGCATAAGGCGACAAAGGGAGGCAGGCAGGAGATGGGCAGCAGCATCTTCCTGGTAACAACAAACTTACAATAAAAAAACTGCGGTTGCCAACCCGCAACTATGGCAAATACCCCCCTATGAAATGACAGTTACAAAGAAACAGGCCCAGTCCCAGTTCCTGGCTACTGTGGCGACCATGGTAACGGCGGGGCAGGGGGTGCTAAGAATATCCGGTGGAGGTTCGGTTGCCACCTAAAACGACTCGACCTGGCGACATACAACGCACGCACACTGAGGACTGACGAGAAGATCGTGGAGCTGGTAGAAGAGATAGACAAGTTACGCTGACATATTATAGGATTATCCGAAGTCCGAAGAGAGGTAGAGGACACGGTAATCCTCGAATCCGGCAACTTGCTCTATTACCGGGAGGGTCCATCTGTCCCAAGGAGGTGTCGGATTTATCGTCCACAAGTCTCTTGTTAACAACGTTGTAAAGATTGAGAGTGTATCGACGAGGGTTGTGTACCTTATACTCAGAATCATCAAACGGTATTCGCTGAAGGTCATACAGGTTTACGCAGTAACCTCGGCACACCCCGATGAGGAGGTGAAGGAAATGTATGAGGCTATCTCAAGAGCCATGCATTCCTCCAAAACCCAATATACGGTGTTAATGGGAGACTTCAATGCAAAACTAGGCACAAGAGAGAACGGTGAGCTGAAAGTAGGGAAATTTGGAATAGGGCAACGGAACCCAAGGGGCCAGCAGCTGGCCGACTTCATGGAGAAAGAGGGACTTTTTATGATGAACTCTTTCTTCCAGAAGCGGTCCCACAGGAAGTGGCTCTGGTCGAGCCCCGACGGTTCCACAAAAAAATGAGATTGACTTCATTATGACGACCAGACGACAACTGTTCAGTGATGTCTCCGTGATCGCGAGGGTGAAAACTGGTAGCGATCACCAAATGGTTAGAGGCATACTGAACCTAAAAGTTAAGTTGGAGAGGTCTCGTCTAATGAAGTCAACGCTCCGTCCCCCTCGTGCTCTTTTCTAAAGTCCCGAAACCTTTCAGCTGGAGCTACAAAACCGTTGAATAAAACTATTTTTACGGATTTTATCGCGTTTAATTAACTTATTTTATATTCACGACGTTTCGGTTGCTTTCCAGCAACCGTGGTCACGGGGGACTGAGGTGATTGACGTCCCGATGTCAGAGTTAAACCGGAGTACCTTCAGCTTTTTAATTAATAATTTTGGTCCGATCTACGCAGAGTGAACTAACTGTGTCTTGAAGTCTTGCAGTGGTATGCTTGGGTTTAGTTTTAATTTTATGAATTACAGGATCCCAAGCAGGCGGTAGTACCCAGCCTCCCTCTCTATTGAAATTAGGATGTGTTTTAATTTCAATAGCCTCACGTATCATCCTTGGCAGGAATCGATGTTCTTTCGCGAGAATTTGTGGTTTATCAAATCTAATGTAATGGCGGGGGCCGTCTAGGATATGATCACAAACTGCAGACTTCCCGGAACGTTGGTGCTTCACGTCAGCTATGTGTTTTTTTACGCGGGTTTTTATAGATCGTTTTGTTTGCCCTATATATGAGAGACCACACTCACAATAAAGCTTGTACACTCCTGCATATTGTAGAGGAATATTGCACTTGACGGATGGTAAGAACTGACTAATCTTCTTCGGCGGCTTGAAGAATGTTCTAATAGAAGCTCGCTTCAAGATGTAGCCAATCTTGTCTGTGACACCTCTGACATACGGTAGTACAGCAGGCACACGCTCGACTGTAGCCGGCTTCACTCGGTCACTGTGAAGCTGCAGTCTTCAGTAGATTTGACAGCATACAGGCAACTGAACAGACAGATCTCCAAATGCATTACTGCACCTTGTTATTTAATTTTGAATTTCGAAACGTTCCTTTTCATCGCGATAGCCGCTTCAGCAACTTCTGGCCATATCATGAATTTTCTTTACTTAGCCATTATTTAGCCTTCTGATAATATATTTACAGGTTCGGTAAGCTATAAATAATATAAAAATGCAATTGTCAGAACTGCACCTTGTTATTTTAACTCAAAACTAGATTCGAAACGTTGCTTTCCGACGCGATAGCCGCTTCAGCAACTTCTGACTATATCATCAATTTTTATGTACTAAGCCATTATTAAGACTTCTGACAATTTATATACAGGTTCGATAAGCCAACAAATAATATAAAAATGCATTTGTCAGAACTGCAGCTTGTGGTTTAAATTTAAACAATTTCTTTACAACTTTGTCGACTTCTGACAGTCTTTAAGCCCCGACTTAGACTTCTGACAATAATTTTCCTAGATTCCTACAGCTAAAAACTATAACTCCACCAAATTTCAAAACTGCACCTTATCATTTTTTTCTTATTGAAAATTTACGACCTTGATCGCCCACCCACGCCTTTCGCCCCGGGAGAGAATTCTGACGGGCCTCGCTCTGTACTTATAAGCTTCCAAAGAGAGGTTATATATATAATTCGTTACTACACCTTATCAGTTCACGTTTTCGTAGCCAGCTCTTAGAACAGAACCTTAAAACGAGACTGTACAACCAGTGCGTGTTGTCAGTGATGACCTATGGAACTGAGACGTGGTCCTTTACTGCTGGCCATATGAGGAAGCTCAAGGTCGCTCAGCGAGCTCTGGAAAGGGCTATCCTCGGAGTTTCCCTGCATGATAAACTTAGAAATGAGGATATCCGCAGTAGAATCAGAGTGACCGAAATAGCCCAACGGATTAGTAAGCTGAAGTGGCAATGGGCCGGCCATATAGCTCGAAGAACGGACAATCGATGGAGAAAAAAGGTTCTCAAGTGGCAGCCTCGTACCGGCGGACGAAGTGTAGGGCGACCCCCCACGAGATGGAGTGACGACCTGGTAAGACATGCAGGAAGTCGATGGATGCATGTGGCTCAGGACCGCGCTTTGTGGCATTCCTTGGGGAGGCCTATGTTCAGCAGTGGACTTATGAAAGGCTGTTATGATGTGTGTTTGTAATGTCAAAATAACAGCTTTTTACTAAATGCATATGGAAAATATTTACGGAAATTGTAACAAAAAAAAAAACAATTTTTAAAAGTTTTGTCTGTCTGACTGTCTGTTTGTTTCGGTTAATCTCCAAAACAGCTGGACCGATTTTGAGTGGATTTTCTATGGTAGACAGCTGATGTTATAAGAAATCGCGGGGAATAGCTAGTAAGATATAAAAGCTTGTCGCGAGAATAAATAGACCGCCATTTTGGGCGATCCGTCATATTAGATTTAGAATAACGTCACTTAGCTAGCCATGTATTGTCATCCAAACTAAACATGTGTGCAAAATTTCAGCTCGATTGGTCGTGGATAACTGCTTTAAAATTAAGATGCAAGATTTGAACCTAACAAACATAAATATATATATAATATATTTAATTATGTACATAGAAAGAAAGAAAGAAAGAAAATAAACTTTATTGACACAGCAGTGCATGCACATTTACAAATGGTTAACAGTAAATATATATATATATATATATATTATTACTGTGCCAAAACAGGCTTCCGCTCAGCATTTGTCATGACATGCTCCTTGCGAGCATGTCAAAACGCTGGTCTTCCGCGGACACCTATTGTTGGCATTGCGCATCCTTTCCAGAAGACACTAACTTAAAATTCAGTAATTATTATGTGAATGTGTTTATGTGACTTGGGTGTCTTTCGAAAGGGTGCGCAATACGGGGACGATTTAATGGTTGTCATCATAGTTGTCAAAAAAACAATGCTAAAAAACAAAAGAAATAATACAAAGTAAAAAAATATTTATAACAGTATTCGAAATTATCCGGATTTTTGAAATAAAAAACAAATAAACAAACAAAAATATTCCCTTAAATTACATTACATTACATTATAGACTATTAAATAACTACTAAAATTAACTAAATACTAAATTAGTGGCTACTCCAACAAACACATAAAAAGGAAATAAATTGTTCAAAGTTAAAATGAACGAATCCACAAAAAAGAAAAAGAAAAAAAACAGTCAAACAAATACCATGTACACTTGTATTATTTGCCATTATATTATTACGAAATGCTAAATACGCGCGATTCCGCTCCGAGCCGATCGCGCCAAACAGCCTGCGCGTCGCGTAAGTAAGCATTGACATATTACTTGATTTTGTTCTCTGTCGAAAACGTCATTGAAAAGGTTATTTTAGAGTGCACCATGCCAACGATACCGCGAAGAGGGAACGTGCGTCAGTTGGAACTCATCCGGATGCTGGAATGATTTACGGTGGGACGGGCCCGCCAACGCCGATGCGCAACGTGAGCACTCCATGGAAAGTGTATCAGCACCACCAGCCTTTTGCAGTGAGATAAGGTATTTTTTACGTGAGTTTTAAACGTCTTTCTCACTTGTAGGGCACGCAAAGGCGGAGGCAGGTCGTTCCAACACCGTGACGCAGCGAATCTGAAGGATCCCCGAAACGCCATGGTGCGATGTTTTGGAGTGGCAAAAACGGAGGTACACTCCCTCCTGGGGTATCTGTTGTGATCACGGGCCCACTCTAGCTTTAGGAAGAGGTATTTAGGTTTTCTTGTAGTGATGCCTCCGAACATCATTGTAGTCAAATGCAATCTTCTGCGTGCCTCCATCCTCAGCATGTTTGCGTCATTGAGATATGGGGTAACATGTGACCGAGGTGGAACTGTAAAACAGAAACGTGTACATGCATTTTGCACTCTCTGAATAAGTCTGGACGTTCTTGATAAGAGGCATGGACTATATACTGAGTCACAGTAATTAAACCTGCTGAGGACCAAGGACTCGCAGAGGGTAATTCTCAATCTCTCACTCAGGTAGGGTCTCAACTTGTAAAGGAGTTTTAGCCGGTAAAAACTATTTCTAACACATTCCGCTACATATTTTTCGAATTATAAGTTGCAATCGACGACAAGACCTAGATTTCTGACTGTATCAACCCTTGTAATAGGTTCTCCATTTATATGAATATTTAAAGTTATATCTTTGAGTTTAGCGATATTCTTGGGCGAACCCATGATCGTGAATTGGAACTTCTTGGGGTTAATTGTCAAATAGTTTGAACTGCACCAGGCAGAGATGCTATCCAGGTCCTCGTTCACCTTAGCTACAGCACTGGTACAATCAGCCGGTGCAAAAGGGAGGTACACCTGCAGGTCATCAGCGTACAGATGATGACGACAATTTGTAATGGTGTTAATAATATCGGCACTGTACATGATGTACAAGATTAACCCCAATATTTACCCTTGAGGAACTCCGCGAGTAACGATTTGTAGTTGTGACCTCAGTAAAGTACCATCCATCCGCTTCAGCTCCATATATTGCAGTCATTGTGTCAGATAGCTATGGAAACATTTCACTGAATTACTGTCAAGGCCATTATATCTCAGTTTAGATAGCAGCAGGGATGTATTGATCGAGTCAAAAGTTCGAAAAAAAATCCAGCAGTTTAAGAATCGTTAGCATCCCCCGATCCTGAGCTGCCAACAAATTACATAATTTTTCATAGGATCATCCTTTTTAAATTATACATCGTCATATTAAATACATCTTTATTTTTTAGTAAGTATGAAAACAAAACAAAATTATATAAAGATTCCCAAAATAGCAGCGTCATAAGTCACACACATTTAGGTTGATGTTCAAATGAATGGATTTAAGCATTATTATTTATTACATGTGTCATTTTAATCAAAATTATCGTTTAACTATTGTGAGTCTTGAGGCACAAATAAATACTCGTTAATATTGAATCGATTTATTCACTTTGAATAACGTTGATTACGTCATGTCAAAATAGCTTTAGCTGCAGCATAGTTGCTATTGTGATACTAAGATATTAATTACTGTCTTTTGCTGTGATTTTTACCCTCCCAGGGTAAGAGGTATGCTGTGTTTTTGACACACTCCATAATTAATTGTTGGACATCATGAACTATGCCACACATGTGGTATATTCTTTTTAATTAATTATTATAAATGACACCATTTCCTGACCAGGGGTGTGTACTTTTGCTTGTTACTATTTCAAGTATACCAGTAGTCTCACTATTGGGAACGCTGAAAATTTAATTCAGACCTTATAAAAGAATCGTGTGGATATTTTTTAAAGTTCTTTTTTTTGTATAGATGTTGTATATAGGAATATATATTATCCCGTTATTGCCTCCAAATATGCACACAAATTAAAAGTAAACTTTATCTCTTTACTATATTCACTCTGCAATTTGCTAGTCCATGAAAAAATGTCAAAATAAAAAGCGCAGAGCAATCGGGTTGGAACTGATTGCAGGCATGCCATGTAAAAACGTCAGAGAGGTGGAGAGGTGTTTTCATTTATGCGACACTACATTTTCTTTTTTTACTAAAAATGGTATGTACGGCTTCATGTTAATGAAACGTGATAAATTTTTGTTCGGGATAGACGTCACCCCACACAAATAATTTCGTCTGTATCGTGGAAACGTGTTACAAATATAAATTCAACATGGACAAACATTCAGAACCGGAATAATTTGTAGGCCTTACTTGTTTAGTGCGAAAACCGAATGCGTCCCGCAATGCCCCAAGGAAATGCTTAGCCACTGCGCTACCAAGTCGTCAGTTCACCAATTTTATTTATACCCTGTTAGCATTACCGATCAAATTTTTACGTGTGGAGTTCCAAGTATTTGATTTATAGTATTAAATTATTTAAATATCCGATTTTTATATCTTTTAAAGTATACGTTGCTGCCAACCGGGGCCGATATATCTAAAAATGCCACTACCTCGATTTTCGCAAGTAACTTATATTATAAATAAAATTGGATATTGTAAATAAAATCTAAGTGTCTGTCTATAATATCGAAATAACGTGATTTTATTGGGCTCATGGTTATTCGGAGCTATTTGTATGACATCAAGACATGAATAACCATTATTAATTTTTTTATGTCTGTCTGTATGGCTATCTTTTTATCTGGGCTAGTCTTTATAATGGCTAAATTGATTGTGATTAAACTTCACGAACAGATAGAGAGCAATGGCAGGAGTGATTTGAGTTTTATTTTAAGTGTGATCCAAAAAATTAGAGATTTTTTGGTTAACCGATAAATTAATAAAATAGATGGTTATTGCAACGCCACTGACTATTTAGAAAGGTAATAATTGGTATCTTTACATTCTGTACCTGCGTAAAAAGATACAAGCAGATAACATCACCTTGTAGGTGGTGTAACAATATCCACTACCCTATATAATCCTGTGAGTGTCTTTAGAGGCAACAAAGGCAGAAAAAACAGGAGATGAAAAGCAGCGTCTTCCTAATAACAACTAGAAAAAGAAACTGTGGTTGCTAACCCGCCTGCCAAGCGTAGCAACAGTGGCAAATATCGCCTCTGTGAGGCTTTCTTTGGGGAGGGCTATATTCAGTACTGGACTTTGATAGGCTGTAATGAATGAATGTATGAGACAAAATTAGCAACAACGATATCAATAGCCTCCTTGAGAACTATCCGTTAGTGAAACTTCTTAACCAGTTTAAAAATAAACGTTTCATAAATGTTAGTATGTGAGGATCCTGCATTATCCATTACATTAAAGGATATGGGTACAGCTGGGACACTAAAACAGCTTTCCAATAAAAGGAATTGATACAGATCAAATCTAATGGTCTAACAAGACAACTATTTACTGTAAAATATAGAATAGCCTGCGTATTTAATGGCATTACCAATCCCTATTTGTGTCTAACTGACTGACGAGTTTATTTGTAAAACGTTACAAATGTTTTTGTAGGCTGAAGTAAACCGTCTTTATATTTTTAAATAAAATAAAGATGACAAGCCAGCACCGAGTCCCCTGATGGTAAGTGGATGCTGCGACTCACAGCTACATCTATCTTCGAATAATAATCAAAATGCATATACGTTGTCACCTCTGAGGAATAAGATGGAATGTTTTACCTCATTTCTGAGGGTTTCACGGGGGAGTAACAACATGAATATCCTGACTCTACTGAGAAATTCTTGTCAGAAAAACCAAATAATTAATATTGAACCGATCTGGGATTGAAACCCGGGACCTCAAGATCGTCAGTTGCGTTTACGACCACTAGACTACACTAAAGAAGCAGTCAATAATAATCAATAAATAACAATCTATACATGATTCACTAATAGATAGAAAAATATTTAATTTGAATATTAAGTATTTTTATAGAATTTTTTATATTTCATTGTCCGTCTGCATATTTACGATTCAAATGTTATTAGTTGTCAATAACGGTACGTTGATAGTTGCGTAAGATACTATTTTTATCCGACTACAGCAGTGCAAAAAGGAAGCTAATGTGGTTATGGCGTAGTGCTTTGAGATCAGGTAAACCGCTTTTTTACTTACTGTAAGCCAATGCTTGACTACAATCCCACCCGGTGGTATGTGATTATGAAGCTGTAGATAATAAATCGCACTATCTCAGGGTAATAAAGGCCATAAAAAATTATCCATGCAGGATTCGAACCCGTGGCCCACTGCACCACGAAGCGGTCAAAATATAAAACTCTACTCATTTACTGTACAAATTACTATTATTACTGGATTACTGGACAAAGCAAACCACTTAGTTTAAATGCGTGGAATATTGACAACAACGGGATGAAGACTTGCCGACCGCCTGATTTTCCGATGGTACATACTCTCCGAAATGTATCCTATAGAATACCGAGATACTGGCTTTTCTGCGCCTATGCTCGAGGCTGACAAGATTGCTTTTAACAATGGAGCCCCCATATATCAAAACTAGCAAGCAGACTTAGTTCTGCAGCATATGCTGTAAAAAAGATTAGAAGTCTAACCAGTGTTGAAACAACTCGACTAGTTTACTTTAGCTATTTCCATAGCATAATGTCGTATGGTATTTTGCTATGGGGACACGCAGCTGACACTGAAATTATATTTGTTTTACAGAAAAGGGCCATAAGAGCAATTTATGATTTAAAGCCTAAAGAATCGCTGCGACAAAAATTTAAGGAAATTAATATATTAACTTTGGCCTCTCAATACATTTATGAAAATGTAATGTACGTACACAAAAATAAAAGTAGTTTTACAAAAATAAGTGATATTCATTCTGTAAATACTAGGAACAGACACAAGCTAGTAGTACCAGTTACTCGACTCCATCGAGTCAGTAATTCATTCTTGGGGCGATGTATACGCTTTTACAACAAAATTCCAGAAAATATACAAAGTTTGACCTGCTCAAACTTTATTAAACTAAGTTTATATAAAAAGGGTTATTATAATATTAAGGAATTTATGGATGATAATAACCCCTGGAAATGAGGTGATCGTTACCAAGCTATTTCTAATTTGTTGTGTTGTTAATTTGTGTAACATCATGATTGTAAGCTGTGTTATTTAAAAAAAAAGTCCCGCTGGGTTTCTTGCTGGTTCTTCCCAGGACAAAGGTTTTTTTCCGAACCAGTGGTAATCAAACAAAAGAGTGACTTTCAATAAGTATTATTTATAATCTATATTGAATAAAAAAGTTTCTGTTTCTGTTAAAAAAAACAAAATCAATGTTACAATACGTGGCATTTTGCAGCACTGGCCCATATGTGTCAGCAGTACTCTTGATCATACTTGCGTATTTACGTTTTTTACGCGTTTATATAAGGTAAAAAGCTACTCCGGTGTGAAATACGAACGCAACCTTGTCCTAGATATCTAGTTTCATTGTGGCTTCTTTGGAACTGGACTCAATAAATTGCCCGTAGTTGAGATTCGAAGAAATCTCAACCCCTATCAACTAAAGGTGGTCAGTGTGCTCCTAAAATACGTCCCAGAAAGTAGCGGGCTCATTTTAGCATTGAAGAGATACGCTTTTATTTTGGAGGTGTTAAATTTCACGGAATTGGTATCGCCCCATTCGGAGACTGCCTGCGGTGAGAGATTCTCACGTTCTATCATCGCTTTTCTCTTTGATTCGATTTGATCCCGACAGGCCCGAGCATTCGCAGCCGACCCTGTCTACAACTGCGCTGTCGTCTGCATCCTCATAGATACCGGATATAAGCAGTTCATTAATATGCTACTAGGGGGTCATTGTAGAAGCGTGCTCGTCGCGACCCCTGCCAGCCCTTTTCAGGGCTGCAATTCTACTCAGCTGCGCACCCATGCCAACGAGGGTTAGGGCGTCCCCCCTAGGCGACGCACACCAGCTCGTCCCCGT